AAAAAAAAAAGTAACATGCAAAACTCCTAACCTCGGACGAATCCTAAAACTAAGTCAGACTTGGAACATAGCCTAGAATAATAAAAAGGAAGGACCGGTTAGCCACACCCTTAATTTCCACGAGATTATCGCACGAGGCAAGCGAATAAAACAGAAAGCCACGGTTGAACAACAAATTCATACTTGGATCGAACGTTTCCCCTCGGCGAGTTCCTTATCGCAAAGCTACTATACGCGCACGGTGACGATCCAAGTCTTCTCCGTTTCTCAATTGCTGTTTCTATCATATGGTGACGGTACGCATTTTTCGGTATGTCGGTATTTTTGTTAGGTTAGAATAGGATGGAGTTGACTTCCCGATCAGTGATTTAGGCCAACACGTATATGGAAACGAAACTAAGTAACAGATATAAACACAGAAACAGATTCATCGGTAGCTCTTGATAGCCCCCGAGGTTTTTATCTGTTCGGGCTCGGTGCTTCGTAGACAGGTAGCTGTTGCACATGCGTTCCCGTTCATAAGCCGCGTATACATCTCAATAGTACCTTGCGAATGGTTCGTGCATATGAACTGTACCATAGTTTCTCACGAACGTAGGAACATTCGGGTAATTAAGGTAAGTCTGAAAGTAAGTAATTGAGGTAAGAAAACTCTCGTCTTCTCTTTGTAATTTTGATCGTCGAAGAATATAATTATTTACAAATATATATATTTATTTATTTATTTATGAATATATAAATAGCATATAATATGTCTATTTGCTGATATATAATATATATCTATTTGCGAATAATTATATTCTTCATAATTAAAATTACAAAGAGAAGACAAGAGTTTATTGTTAACTATATATTAATACGTAATTAATGTATATTTTAGATTACCGTTGTCTCTTTATCTTTTCGTTTGTAAAGTTTTTATATTTTCGTACGAGTTAATTTTAAAATTCGTACGAAATATTTATGATAGTTTCTAGTATTCGCTGTAATGGTAATGTATCGAGTAATTATATATATATGTATTTTTTTTTTGTTTATACACA